TTGGGAATCAGATGGAGTTCTTATCAGAACAAAGACGTGATTTTATATCACATTTTGGAGTGAATGGGGATTAGGTTGTGACGTTCTACGTTGCGTTGTAAAGCCACGATAGATGGTTGGCATTCCGAGTATAAAGGGTAAGCCTTTGGTATTTGCTTAGGCAAAAGAATATTGCTTTTAAGCTGTGGTTACAGATAGGTTTCAAGGTTGGATGATTACCAACAAAACTGCGAAATGAACTTTTGTGACATAATTTGGGAACTTGAGCTCAAATGAGGTTTTCTTCTCTGGAATGAAGGATGTTTTAAGTAGAAATTATATTTTGGTTGCTATGGTGTATTGTGTGTATCTATGTGTTTGTTTTTTTTTTTGTTATTCTGTGTTGCCTTTTGTTGTTACGTGTTTCATTTTTGTTAATTGGTTCAGGATTTGGAATAGGGTTTGGTTGGGGACACAAGTATATGATCAACCAACTATTATTTTACTGACATAGAGAAATAGCACTATGTGCACCAAGATTTGGGAATGTATGAACATAGGATTGGGTAGACATATAAACGCCTAGCCAATCTATCGGATCTGGATATGCATCACTATGGTATGCTACTTGGGAAGGGATAGTTAAACTATCAACACGAGTCAAATAATCTACAATGATTAGATTCATATGCTCTATGCTAGGTAGGGATTCATTTTTACAACACTATAATAATGGTGATTGTTAACGCTTTGGGGATTCGTGAGGATGTGGTGAGTAAAGATCAGTGTAACGCCATTATGGTTCGGATGGAAGATTTCGTGCTGGTAGGTACTTATTAAAATGACAATGAAGGAGGATAGTGGACTTATGAAAGCTTTATCAGTCTATTCATGATTAAGATACTATTTACGAGGGTGTCATTGGGAGGAGTGGTTGGTGTGCACTTAGAGGAGGAACCAAAGTTTCTACACTATATAAAATGTGGAAATTTTTTTTTTTTTTAGGGTCCTAATTTTCAACAATTAGTTGTTGCTTTGACATTGATGACTATATGGAGGATAAGAAAAGTTTCATAAGCTTTTGAAGCGGGACAAGGAGTCAAATTGACACTACTTATATTACAAAGGTAGGGTGTGTCAAAGATAGGATGGTGGGACCAGTCACCTGTCATCAGGAAGCGGTGCACGATGTGCGTGAAAAAGTCATACTATAGGCTTAGCTTTTAACATTGCTCCAAATTAAGTATTGGGTGTAGACGGAAGCTGGTGTTACCAAACTAATGGTACTTTTAGTAGACGGATTGGGAGGAGGATGCCGTGACTGAGGGTTACAACACTTAGTTCATTCTTCATTCTGGCGGATAATATGATTCACTCACGATCTGGAGCAGATTTTTGAGGGCCAGGAGGAGGAACAGAGTGATTTTTGTTTTCCAGTCCAATATAATTAGATGGTCGAAATGGACGAGCAGAGATCACTAGATCTTTGCAGTCATTTTGTATGCAGAAGTAGAAATGATAGAACATTTTTCACGGAATTAGTTGAGGGATTGCAGACTATTCAAAAGGGTCTGGATTTTGGTTGGGCTGTTAGTTTAGTTTCTTGTTTAAATCAGCCCAATGCTAGTTTATTTTTGAACTAGTGGAATATCAATTCATATGAATAAAGGGGACTACAAGACGACTTAGATGCATCAACGTGGTGATTTATACTTTGCATTAAGTTTTGTTTCCTGGAATGGAATGTGGAGGTGGGCGTTCACAACAACCAATAGGAGCTTTCGGTTAGTTGTTTCATTAGGAGTTGAAGTCTCAGTATGTGTACTAATGACATTTGCTTTTAACAAGGAAATTAAGGGGGGTCCACCTCACATACCTGAACTGACCCTAGAGGCCGTGTTACCTTATTCAGAAAGAGCTTAAGGTGCTCGGGGAGGATTTGTTGATTCAGTGAATGTTGTCGGAGTGACTGAGATGTAAAATTTGTAGAAATTTTCTCGATACACTCGGACAGTTATAAGACATCAAATGTCAGTTCTAGTGAACAAGTTTGGGATGGGACATATATATAAACATCTATACGAGTAACACCTGTTAGGAAAATGGAGTAAGCCTAGTCAGAAGTGGATGGTTAGTCAAGATTATCGACATTTATTGGAATTATTAATTCCATGCGGATTAAAAGTGGTGGATTAAGCAAGTTTGCTGCTAGACCTAATTCTCATAATGTTCACTTTTGGACTTCGTATTACTTTTGGCTTCCTTAACGGAAATATCGGAGAGGAATACTCTTCTTGGTGGTGAATTGGGCGCCGTTTGGCGACAACAGTATAATTGTTGTTAATCGTTACGCTCATACATTAGCATTTTCTATCAGAAAATAGTTAATTGGTATGTCTTCCATATCGGCAACAAAGAGCGTTATTACGGAAGGTCAGTTTTTATGTATTAATTAAATTGACTTTTCATGGATGGTGTTTCTCTATTTAGGCCGTAGCCTATCGATTAGTGTTTTAAAACATTGGGATGGGCTGCATAGAAGTTTTACACATCTATGCTGTGGAATTTGGAGAAATATGGATCTTTACCCTGTATCAAAATTTGGGTCAGGATGCGTAGTTGCTAAATACAATTTAAGTGTTGAATAATTTTTGTGTTTCCTTTCTATCGGACCCATAAATTGTTCTTGGCGGATTTGGAATGTGGTGGAGCCTATACCCAGAGGCAGAGTCCACAACGGAACGGAAATGAATTTTAAGATAATTCAAGGTTTTGTGAATTCCGAGGACGGAACTCCGTTTGTTAGGGGGAGGAAGAATGTAATACCCCTAATTTTGAAAAAGGATAAAAGTGAAATTTTATTATTTATTTTATCGTTTTTGGGTGCTTATGTGGTTAGGTGATTGGTGATTTTCATGATGTGTTTTGAATTAAATTAAATTGTTTGTTTTAAGTGTTTTATTATTTATTGAGTTGATTGTTTTATTTAATTAAATTACTTGATAAATGGTATTTTTTTTACGCTAATTGTATTTTTATTTTTGGAATTTCTTTTTTTTATTATTAAGGACTTATTAGTTATTTTAATGGAATAAATGGAATTAATTGGATTTTCATTAGTATTGTTAATTGTAATAATAATATTAGGGTTTTGGTATTTTTATGGGCTTGCCGACATAATTAATTAGGTTTTAAGTTTAGGGTTTTATTGACTTAGGATTTGGAATTAGTTGTAAATATATAACTTATACGTCTCTAGGGTTTGAGAACCCTATTCACGACACAGTGAAGGTAGAACATCATAACAAAGACTTGTGAGAAAACTGAACGTTAGAAAATTGAGCGATAGCAGTTAAGGTTTTGGCCAAGGATTGTAGGCCGGACCAAGGAGGAAGGTTGAGGGATGTTTGTGGGTTAACCAAGAGTGGCAGAGGAGGTTCAATTGAACTAAGGTCACCGGGAAAAACCTAGGAAGAAGACGGTGAAAGGTTTCAGATCGAAACCTTAAAGAGGCAAGTTCTTTTCTTTCTCCTTCCCTTTGGCTTATGTTATGTGCACCTAGATAATCTCTAGGGATTAATTGGACATTAATTTAACCATGCATGACTATTATATGTTAAGTTTGATTATCTGTTATCTGTGAAATTTATCTGTAATAGTTGTATCATGTATGGTTGCATCGTCTCTGTTTTAGAGTAAAAAGGTTGTCATTGTTTTAACATGGTATTGAGTCTGACTGCTATAAATGAAGGTCTAAATTAACACTAGATGAGATTTAAAACCTTTAAAAATTTAAATTAGAGGAAGAACAGAGGGGTTGGAATGGAACTGTTGTTGCAAATTAATTTCAGTTTAGTTCCTTAAGCATGTTTCAGTTCAGTAGCAAATTTAATTCAAACTTAAATTCCTGTAATTGATTCCAATGATTGTAATGAACTAATGGGATGCTACTGGGTATTAATTAGACTCCTAAGTTCAATTTTAAAATCCAACAGAGTGATAGGAATAAGCCAGTGAAAGAGCAAAGAAGCTGAAACGAAGCAGAACAGAGAGAAGGCACACAAGGGGGAAGAGAGCCGGCTCTGGAATGCCAAGAGCTAGCTCCCACCTGATTAGAGCCGGTTCCAAGGTTGTATAGAGCCGGCTCTAGGCTGAATTGGAGCCTGCTCTAATTTTTCCAAGAGCAGGCTCTTTCCCAATTTGGTGCATACTGTAATTTTTAGCTACTGTTTGGGCACTTGGGGTTCTTGAACAGTTTTAAAACTTTAGTGGGTTTTTCAATGATTATTTTAACATGTAATCAAGTTCTTGAAATGCATAAAATACCCCCTTTGTTTGGGATGGTGACATACTAGGTATGGTTTAGCTCAAAACGCTAATTCCTACCTTATGGATTTTAATTGGTGAACAGTTTTACCTGTTCAATCAATTATATGGATTTTGTGGATTATATGCACCGGTATGGGACGGTGGCATACTAGGGACAGACTGATTCAAAATACTCAGTCCTACCTATTTTGGAATAAGGGTACGAATTATAAAAAAATAATTCTTCTTATATTTAAGTCTGTGCAGTTGAATAAGTTGAACGACTTACTGGATCTCTTATATAAGTCTGTGCGGCTGAATAAGCTGAACGACTTATTGGATTTCTTATGGATGGATATGAACGGATTTTAAATATATGGTTATGATACCACGAGATGAGCTTGAGTCTTGGACTCGTTGGTTAGGTCGCGTATAAGCAGTGGATGCATAACTGGCTATATTAAGTTGAGGTGTACCCTGTTAGGTCTAGGTACTCATGCCCACCTTTGGGTGCGTATTCGCATGTTACCTTCTATTCAGGTTGAGACCCCTACTGTAGTCCAGTGAATGTCCCTTAGTGTGGATATATATATATGTATGGACTAGATAGCTATTGTTGAGATATCTAGGGTGTATCTTTGTATCGGGTCACTGTTTGAATTGCAGTTAGAAAATAATTTGCATGTGTGCCTGACCAACTCTTATTTTTACAGGTGTTCGTGAGTTCCAGTCTTAGAGCTAGATCGTGCTGAGCAGATACAATCATTCACTCCACCGATGCTGTCTGATTTTGTTTCATGTGTTTAGGCTTTGGTTTTATTTCCAGTCATTTGAGTTCAGTGGGATATTTTTGGGGTCCACTAGATAGATTCCCGAGTTGCATAATTTGGAGAACGATTTGTATTCGTGGAGGATCAGTTGTAACAGAATAGTTTTATTTATCAATGGAATTATTTATTCTGAGGTTTCAATTATTGGATTATCATTTTAGTTTTCATTTCAGCAAATTTTATTTATCTCATTTGTCTTAATTGTATTCTGTGTTCAATTATTGTTAATTGGTTTGATATCCTCGGGTAATCGGACGTGGGCCTGGCCAACCCGCATTTGAAAATCTGGGGTATCTCAGCTCATAAGCTAAAAATAAATCCAATAAAGTGTGCCTTTGGAGTATCGGCAGGAAACTTTTTGGGTTTCTTAGTTCATTAAAGGGGTATAGAGATCAATAGGAATAAAGCTAAGGGAATTATTAATGCCAGTGCGCCAAGAAGCAAGAAACAGTTGCAGAGGTTACTTGGGCAAGTGAACTATCTTAGGAGATTTATTGCCAAAACAGCTGGGAAATTACATGTGTTTTCCCCGCTACTCAAGTTGAAGCCAATAAAAGAATTCAAATGGGATGATATACATAAAAGGGCATTTGACCAGATTAAAAAATACTTGTCGAGTCCTTCTGTCAAGATGCCACCAAGGAAGAAATGGCCGATGAAATAATATTTTTCAGCTACTGAAGAATCCATTAGAGCCATGTTAGCACAAGAGAATGAAGCAGGAAGTGAACAAGCAATATATTATCTCAGCCGAGTTTTAACTCCAGTCGAGTGTAGATATACACCGATTGAGAAATTATGTTTGGCTTTGTATTTTGCAGCAAAGAAATTAAGAGTCTATATGTTGCCTGTTTTGGTTTATATTATTTGCCAAACCGATATCTTATAAAGTATATGCTATCAAGGCCATTAATAACAGGCCAAATTGGCAAGTGGGCTTTGGCACTAATGGAGTTCAACTTTGCATATGTTCCACAAACGGCAATTAAGGGAAGAGCATTGGTAGATTTTCTTGCCGATCATCCCTCGCCTGAAATTGAGTCACAAGTATTTGATGAGCTTGACTCGGCATCCATATTCATGACTCCATGGACTTTAATGTTCGATGGGTCAAGTACCAGTGAAGGCTCGGGAGCTAGTATAGTCATAATATCCCCAACATGGAATCAAATTTCGTTTTCCTTCTTTTTGGATTTCAGGTGTTCAAATAATCAAGCCGAGTATGAAGCATTAATTATCGGCTTGGAAATCCTACTAGAGATGGCAGTTAAAGACGTCCACATTATAGGAGATTCAAGTTTGGTGACTAATCAAATCTCAGAAGACTTTAGATGTTTGAATTGGCAATTAAGACCATTTCATTCGTTGGCAACCCAGTTGGTCAACCAATTTCATAATGTGACTTTGGAATACAAACCAAGGGCCATAAATAAAATAGCTAATGATTTAGCATAGACTGCTTCAGGAGTCAGGGTGCCGAGTGGTATGAAGGAAAGGATAATGAAAATTACATGCCGATCTCTTCCATCGGCTGAAATAAGAAATCAAGTTATGGAAGAAGTCTTTGCCACTGACATTGCCGAGTTGGATGATGATGATTGGCGAATCCCTTACATCTTGTTCTTGCAACATCCAACTCCAGAAATTGACTGAAGAATAAAAAGAAGTGCAGTTGATTATGTGCTTATGGATAGAGATCTTTATAAAAGATCGGCTGATGATGGTTTGTTATTTCAATGCATTAGTAAGTTTGAGGGTTTAAAGATTATGGCCGAGGTACATGAAGGGATATGTTGTGATACCCCTCGGATCTGAGACACGGGTTGATCAGGCCCAGGCCCAAACCCGAGGGAATATCAAACAATTAAAGTATTTTAAAACGAACACAGATGACAAAAAGAACAATAAAGATAGAATAAAACTGAAATAAACATTAATTATAAAATCCTCCATGTATAACTGAAAATTGAAACTCCAATCCTCCAAAACTTCAAGGTTACAACTTGGGAATCCACTGATGGACCCCTAACCAAAAGTTCAACTGAAACTGAAAACTGAAAATAGATAATGCTAGAAATATCGAGAGAAGTCCTACGTAATCAGATGAAGGTGAGACTGTCCTCGACAAGCACGATCAAGCTCTAAAGCTGGAACCGTCCTGTACCTGAAAAGAATAATGAAGGAGTGGGTCAGACCCACGAGCAAGTTCTAATCTAACTGCAATCCATACAGTGACCCGATACGCAGATACACCGTAGACACCTCACAATATCTATCTAGTCCATACGTATAAATATATCCACACTAAGGGACATTCACTAGTCTATAATAGGGGTCTCAACCTGAATAGAAGGCAACATGCGAATACGCACCCAAAGGTGGGCATGAGTACCTAGACCTAACAGGGTACACCTCAACCTATTATAACCAGCTACGCATCCACTGCATATACGCACCCTAACCAACGAGTTTGAGACTCAAGCTCAACTTGTGGTACCATAAACATATATATAAAGTCCGTCCAAATCCAGGGTAAGCAGTTCAACTATTTATTAAACTGACATACAATAAACCAACTAGTTAGTCACTCAACTTATTCAGTTGATATGACTTAACTACCATCCGTTAATCCAGGAAGTCATCCAACTTGGTTACAGCTGATCTGACTTAGTCACAATTAGGATTCGATATCTTTCAATCCATTCCATTAATCTATTAGGTTAGGTTTATGCGTTTTGAGCTAAACCGTCCCTAGTATGTTACCGTCCCATACCGGTACATACAATCCTCCATATCCAGGTAAATTACAACATATATAACAGTTTAATAATTTACAGACCCAAAAACCACCATCCAAACAATTGCAGAAAAATATTTAAAGCTTCAGCAATTTAAATCCAAGCATTTAACCATATAGTTGCGGAGACGATTTAACAAATCAACAACTAACATCCAGAGCATGCATAAACCAAATTTAATATGTCAGGGACTCCATCATGCATGTGAATAGGTTAAATAATCCTAATATTATCCAATAAATTGCTAAAACAATTTCAGAAGATTGTTTAATATTTCGGCAATTTAAATCCAAGCATTAACCATATAGTTGCAGGAAACGATCTAATAATTCAGCAACTAGCCTCCTAAGCATGCATAGATCAAAATTAATAATTAAATGACCTTATCATGCACTTGAATGCATTCTAAAACAAGTTTTATAAACACATTATATTCCATCAAATTGCTGAAATTAAATTCAACAATTAATTCAACTTCCATTTGTTAAGTGCCTTAATTTTTACACTGTTTGTCCCGACAATTTAGAATTAAACTTTAATCAATTTAGGGTCTTAATAACACTCAAAATTCAATCCTTAATCCCTCTGAAAAGTTCCAAATTCACTCAAATAGTCTCCATGCTCCAACAGTGAACATAGTACGTAGAAAATTAAAAAAAAACTTAAAATAAATCAAAAATAAAATGGGGGCCTGCTCCAAAATTTGGAGCAGGCTCTTTTTCCAGCCTAGAGCCGGCTCTAGGACTCCTTAGTGCTGGCTCTACTTTGTTGTGGGAGCCGGCTCCCACTTCTATGGAGCCGGCTCTCACCTCCTTTGAGAGCCTTCGTCCCCGGTGCGTCGTTTCAACTCTTGTGCTCCTTCTCCGGCTTATTCCTAACACTCTGTTAGTTTTTAAAACCAAACTTAGGTGTCATATTAATACCCAGTAGCATCCCAATGGCTTGATAACAACAATTAAAATCAATTACAGAGGTTAAATTTGCTACCGAACTAAACCGCGTTAGGAACAAAACTGAAACTATAATTCTATTCCAACCTCTCTGTTTCTCTTCACAAACTGATCTTAGGAGTCTTTTATCATCCCATTAACATCCCCAGGGTTTGTTTACAGAAGATAGAAGCAAGAATCGTAACTAAAATCTCAACAGATTTTAATATGCTTTAATGAACAGAACTGGGAGCAACAATACACGAACTGTAAACAGATTTGAAATCAATGCAAACAAATCATCAACAAGCATACATTAAACACATAAGTTTCATTTACTAATTAGTTAATCCCTAGAGACTATCTAGGTGCACAGAACACGAGCCAAAGAAAAGGAGAAAGAGAAGAACTTGCCTGTAGTTTTAGACTCAAAATTTATCGTCGTCGTCCTAACTTCCGGCAACCACAGACTACCTTCTAGCCTCCTCTGGTTCTGGTCTAATCCACCAAAATCCTCCCTTGGTACTCACTGTTCTTCTCCTTGACAATTTTTACAGGGCCTCCATTCGCAACCCTCTGTGCCAAGAACTTACTTCACGTTTATATAATCTGATTTATGGTTGTAAACCCTAGGCTAAAGCATAATGGTTGTATTTATAAGTTTAGCTCTCAAACCCTAATCCTTGTAATTTTAGAGGCAGGGCCCTAATCTTAATCCTAGTCGGCCCATAAACAAAACCTATGATTAAATTAAAAAATCACGTAACTTAATTTTAACAATTATAGTAAGTTAATTACCTAAATTTAAAACAGTGAATTACAAATAATACAATTAATAATTTATGAAAATAGACACAACAATTTAAAACCAATTTAATTTCAAATAACCAATTAAACAAATGAAAAACAATAAAAGAAATAAAAAATGCGATAAAGACAATAAAATAAACAAAAATGCAATACAATAAATAAAAATGCAATACAATAAATATTAAAAATGCCGAGACTATCCTTTTTAAAATTAGGGGTATTACATTCTTCCCCCCTAACAAACGGAATTCCGTCCTCAGAATTCACTCTTACCTTCTTCCAATATTTCAGGAAATTGCGAGCGAATGACATCCTCCCGTTCCCAAGTGGACTCAGCCTCATTGTGATGACTCCACTGCACACGAACCAAAGGGATAACCTTATTGCGAAGGATTTGATCCCGACGATCAATAATACAACATGGTGGCTCCAAATAAGTTGCATCCGGCTGCAACTCAATCTCACCGACATCGATATGCTGATACTGATCCTCATCGCGCAGAAATTTCCGCAACATGGACACATGGAATACGTTGTGTACGCGGTCCAAATTATCCGGCAGTGCCAACCGATAAGCAACAGCTCCAACTCGATCCGTAATCAT